AGCAGTAGCAACAGCAGTAGCAACAGCAGTAGCAGTCGTCGTCGCTGTACCAGTAGTAGCAGAGGTTGTTCAGCCGCACGATCGCGCCAGCATGGCGGTGTCTTTCACGCCACTTGGCCTGCAATAGCCTAGCGGCTCTTACAGAAAGTAAAGGAATGAACAAGGAGCAAACAGACGCACGAACAAAAACGACTCATCCATCCATCCATCCATGCATGCATGCATGCATGCATACATACGCATGCACATCACATGCTATACGTATTGTGTGTACAGATATGTATACACATAGGAGCACGGCATGCGCCCTTTGTGAGCTTCGGCTGCCATTTCCAGGTCCCATGTCTTTGCAGGGCTTTCCAGCCCGCAGGTGGGCCTTTGAAGCCTAAACCTTGATCTCAAAACCCTAAACCGGCCCGGAGGTGGCCTTGCTGGATGCTTTCCAGGCGCGATCTTTTCTCGCTGTTAAGTTTTCGGGTGTAGCCGCGGAGCCCAGTACCCCTTAATCAAGTAAAAGGTCAGAGATTTCAGAGGGCTTGAATAATGTAGGGACCTAAAGAGCTACCAATACTATTGTGGGGGTTCCTTACTATAATTATAGCATAATATACTCCACAGCCCTTTTCTAATTCTAATGGCCCCTATATTATCAGGGTTTAATGTATATAGTTTATACTCCTTGACTAATTTCTGAAGGGGTATTGGGCTGCCTGGCATCGGATGGAAGCCGCCCCAAACCCATCTAAACCCAACACCCTAAACCCCTAAACCCGAAACCCAAAATCCTAACCTAAACCCCTAAACCCCTAAACCCCTAACCCTAAGCCCTAAAACCCCTAAACCCTTAAACCCTAAACCCCTAAACCCATAAACCCCTAAACCCTAAACCCTAAAACCTAAACCCGAAGCGAGCTCTTTTGCCAGGGGCCTTCGTCCTCACTCGTCGAACTGCGACCTGAGGCGTTGCAAAGACTCCATGGTATCCGAAAGTATGATTAGGGGGTTGTAGGGTTTAGGGATATTTAGGGGTTTAGGGATGTTTCTGGTTTTAGGCTTTTAGGGTTGAGGGTTTTGGGGCCCCGAAGTGTCCGAATGTATTCGTTACACAAGGGTGCCCTCACGAAGGATCCCAAGGCAATTCAAGGACTTTTTTTGTTGTATTAGAGTATATGATAGTAGAGAAGCCCCTTATCATAGCATTTAGTAGATTATGGTATCTTATCGCAGATTCTATTACAGTATATATCATAGTATGCTATAGTAGGCTATTTTTATCTTTTGTCAGAGTATGTTGTTTTTATAACCCTAAACCCTAAACCCCAAACCCTCAACCCTAAACCCTAAACCCTGAACCCTAAACCCTATGTTGTAGTACCGTGTCGTCTCCGCATTGTTGAAGCTCGCAGGGTGGCGACGAGAACGCCGAGACTCTGAGGCTGGCGCTCAGCCCCACTGTTTAGGGTTTTGGGGTTTAGGGTTTAGGGTTAAGGGTTTAGGGTTTAGGGTTTAGGTTTAGGGTTTTGGAGTTTTAATTTTAATGCTACTATAAGTAGGGTTTAGGGCTTTAATGTAGAGGCCTTAATAATCAGAGTAAGGCTTGGGGTATGTTATACAAAAATAGAATAAGGAAGCCCGCCCCAAAACCGTTTTCTGATTATGAAGGCTCTACATTAGGGTTTGAGGGAATAGGGTTCAGGGTTAGGGACTTAGGGTTCAGGGTTTTAGGGTTTAGGGATCAGGGGTTAGGGGTCAGGGTGTAGGGATGAGGGGCTAGGGGCTTAGCAGTGATTGGGGTGTAGGGGTCGGGGTTAGGGTTTCTGGCCAGGGTTTAAGGACTAGGGTTTAGGGATTAGGGTTTAGGGTTTAGGGTTTAGGGTTTAGGGATTAGGGTTTAGGGTTTAGGGTTTAGGGATTAGGGTTTAGGGTTTAGGGTTTAGGCTTTAGGGATGAATACATGCCAACCTGCCAGGTACAACTCCGTCATGTCATTGGAGGAGGGTGACTACCAGGTGCTGCTTAGACCCGGTATGCCGCCTGGATGTTTCTTGCCTTGTGGTTGAGGAGTCGCAGCAGTTGTTCTTGATGTAGCGGGACCTGAGTGCATGTTGATTGATGGTTGTCACAGCAGCCACAGTGAGCCCTAAACCCTAAACCCTGAACCCTAAACCCTAAACCCTGAACCCTAAGCCATAAACCCTAAACCCCGAAACCCTAAAAAAAAAACCTAAACCCTAAAGTTCTCAGCGTGGTGGTCATTACCCCTGGGTTGCGTGGCATGGCGTTCACAGTCTTCGTTCTTTGGAGGTCGTGCTCCAGCAGGGCAATGAGAAGCTCGAGGCTGATCTAACATGCGCCTAGAGAGCCCAGTAATGTAGGGGCCTTAATAATTACCTATAGTGTTTTGGGGGTTCCCTTTATTCTACTTATAGTGTAATGTACCCCTAAACCTTATTATCGTTATTAAGGCCCCTAAATTAGAATATTGATCCTCTAAGGTATTTACCATTTGTTAATTATGGGCTACCGGGCTCTCTTCTTGACTCGTGTGTTCCATAAACCCTAAACCCTATACTAAACCCCAAGCCCTAAACCTCTGTGACGTGTTATTGCTGTCGACTGCCCTGCCTGCACAGTACGAGATGAACGCGCAGCCGATGCCTGAGCATTGACAGGATTAAGGGTTTAGGCGTTTAGGGTTCAGGGTTTTCTGGTTTTTGTCAAGGTAAGCTACCATTATAGGGATCTTTTGCAAATAATAGGGTTGCCTCATTGTGCTAACTTTCATCACGTCCTTCAAAAAAAGGTCCCAGTTTTGGCATCCTGGATGCTGGCCTTTGGGTTAGGGGTTCAGGGTGTCAAATCGTGATAGAAGCACATTTGGTTCAGGAAGCTGTCGTTAGCCACAACGAGGTCAAGCGAGGCCTATGTCATGATCCGATGTGGCAGGGTGCTTACATTTCCACGTGCATAGCTGCATCGGCCTCATGCCGAAACCCTAAGCCTTAAACCCTAAACTTTAGGCCCTAAGCCCTAAACCCTAACCCTAAGCCTTAAACCCTAAACCCTAAACCCCAAGCCTTAAACCCTAAACCCAAAGCCTTAAACCCTAAACCCTAAACTCCAATCCTTAAGCCCTAAACCCTAGACCCTAAGCCTTAAACCGTGAGGTGTGAACTCCGATGTTATGCAGAGCTTCAAGGAGGAGCTTCGGGTGTTGCTAGTGCTGAGTCTCTTTTAGTCGGAGTCGTTTCAACTTTTGGGCGGTCTGAAGAATTAGTGTGAGTTGTATGTAGGGTTTAGGGTTTAGGGTTTAGGGTATGTAGGACAATGTAGGATTCTCCATGATGGTCGTAGTAGACTGAAATGGATGCGGATCTGATCTGTGCAGTTGCCTGCGTGCCACGCCTCTCTTCACCCAGCGACAGCACACATGTTGTAGCCAGTCGTGACTCGAAACTTCAACAGGGAATCGAGCATGTCGCCAGTGTCTACTTGCGAAGCAAGTGACCAACTAAGCCCGAAAACCAAGTGTTACACACTTCGACGGATTGTACTTGCGGCCAATGCCCAGCCATGGCATGGGGGGGATCATCACCAATGAGGCCATCAAGGTCACGACTGCTGTGCCTGTATGGTACCGATTTCCAGAGGCAGAAGCTCAGATTTTCAGCTGGCCGGCGCCGAAGCATGAAGCCCCCGCCCGAACCAGCGCCTTCTCAGAATGACCTTTTTCAAGTGGTCTTCGAAGTGCTCGGAAAATCATGGCTACAGGAGATGGTGGGTTGCAGCAGAGTGCCTCATGCCCTGTCAAAAGACATCTTCCGTGTTCTCGTTCTGCCTGACGAGCCCAAGCCGCGTTTCTGCCTGAATTGCAGAGTCCATGAAAAGCTGCACAGAGCTCTGCGCCACCTACAGATCACGCGCCTGGAGACAGAGAGAAAGACCGAGGCCCTTGAAGAACAGTATGCATCCGTCCGGAAGCACGTCACCACGGTGCAACGCACAACCTGTGGAGAGCTGGATGCAAAAAAGCACAGAGCTAACCTAAACCCTAAACCCTAAACCCTAAACCCTAAATCTCGGAAGGACCAGACTCTGCGATGCCGCCCCTCGCAGTCTTCCTTAGGGAGCTGCAGTGTACAGTCTCGAGCATCGCCAGTTCACGTAGGCTGGCACAGTTCCTGAATTCAGGAGGGTTTAGGGTTTAGGGTATAGGATTTAGGATTTAGAGTTTAGGGTTTAGGATTTAGGGTTTAGGGTTTAGGGTTTACGGTATAGGATTTAGGATTTAGGGTTTAGGACTTAGGGTTCAGGGTTTAGGGTATAGGATTCAGGATTTAGGGTTTAGGGTTTATAATATAGGATTTAGGGTTAAGGGTTCAGGGTTTAGGAAGCCAGATTGCAAGATGTTAAGAAACTCAGTCTCACCGCCATTTGGCAATACCACGGCACAACAGCGTTGGCGCTAGACAAAGCCCAAGACTGCAAGAAGAAGTGCTGCTTTGCAGTCGGAGCCTGTCTGTCTCTGAGATAGAATGCGACGCCAGGAGCTGATCATCTATCCCAGGGAGTTCCAGGACTTAGGGTGTGGGGTTTAGGGTTTAGGTCGCAAACTTTGTCGGCATGAGCTGAACTGCAGGAGGACGAAGAGCCCAGAGAAAAGGCCTGCTGCTCAGAATGAGGAGAGCGATCGATGTCCGGACTTTCAGCTTAGGCTGGGACTGTCTCCTTGGTCACGAGCTCATCGTGGAACCAGACGTGGTTTGACAAATGTTTGGCGTTGCCCTTGGAAGCTCTGAGGTGCTTTCATGGTGTATGATTCTGACGGCCATCGCTGTCTTCCGGTGAGACCCGTGGCGAGCGCTTGTCCGCATGTTGATCTTGGGTGGAGGTGTGCAGACACAGCTGTTGTGATCACATTTGCATTGCAGCGTTTCCCTTTGCCCTGTGTTGGTGCACTCTTCGACCCGGACATATGCAGTCTCACACAACCACATGGACATAGGCATGTCGGGAAATGGAGGATGACATGATGAGAGAACCAGAATGCGTTGAACAGGCACAATATTGGTGTCATGTTTAATGTTATGATGAAGAACCAATGACAATTAATGAAGCGAATATTGGATCTATGATACTACTACTACTACTACTACTACTACTACTACTACTACTACTGCTACTGCTACTGCTACTGCTACTGCTACTGCTACTGCTACTGCTACTGCTACTGCTACTACTAGTACTACTGCTACTACTA